TGTTTTTTGGTGGGGTGGCACCGAGCTGGAGCCCTCAGGTGTCTCACAGAGCTTTTTTTTCCCCCTGCAGAATGTGTTGTCCTCGCTACGGGGAGCGGAGGCAGACGGAGAGCGACTGGGGCAAGCGCTGCGTGGACAAGTTCGACATCATTGGCATCATCGGAGAGGGCACCTACGGGCAGGTGTACAAAGCCAAGGACAAGGACACAGGTGAGCCTGGCACCAGATAAACCAACTCTGGGTTTGTGCTGCTCCACAGGGAGAAATTCCTGCAGGGCCAGCAGTGGCTTTTCCATTGAGGGTTTTCCAAAAAGGGCAGGAGAGCAGCAGCTCTGGGATGTGGAGTTTGGTGCCCAAGGGAGACCCGGTGCCCTGGGGTGTGGTTTGATGTCTGGTCAGATGATTGGGGTGGCCACAGGTGCCAGCTGCTTTTGAAATTGTCAGATTTTATTGGGAAATTCCAGTGTAAACCTCTGTGGGAAACTCTAGTGTAAACCTCTGTGGGAAATTCCAGTGCTGTGGGAAATTCCAGTGCTGTGGGAAATTCCAGTGTAAACTTCAGTGGGAAATTCTAGTGTGAACCTCTGTTGGGAAATTCCACTGTAAACTTCTGTGGGAAATTCCAGTGTAAACCTCTATGGGAAATTCCAGTGTAAAATTCTGTGGGGAATTCCAGAGTAAACCTCTGTGGGAAATTCCAGTGTAAACCTCTGTGGGAAATTCCAGAGTAAACTTCTGTGGGAAATTCCAGTGTAAACTTCTGTGGGAAATTCCAGAGTAAACTTCTGTGGGAAATTCCAGNTTGAGGGAGCAAAATGCCCTGAAGTTTTATACAGAGCCTTTTAAATCAAAACCAAACACCCAGCATCCTGCAAAATATCTTTGATATTTTGGATTTTTGCCCTGCTGTAGTCTGATCATGCCATCCAGGATAATATTTCTGGATTGGGTGTAGTTGGGATTATACACCAAAAATCCATTAAAATTCCAATTCTGGGAGTGCGACACCAACATGTCTGAGCTTTGCTGTTGTATTTTATGGATTAACCCAATCCAGCAGGTGATTTTTGGTAGGATGGCACTGAGCTGAAACCCTCCAGGATAATATTTTTGGATTGAGTGTAGTTAGGATTATACTCCAAAAATCCATTAAAATAAAAACTCCAATTTTAGGAATGCAGCACCAACATGCTTGAGCTTTAGTGTTGTATTTTAGGGATTAACCCAATCAAGCAGGTGATTTTTGGTGGGGTGGCACCGAGCTGGAGCCTTTCAGGATAATATTTTTGGATTGAGTGTAGTTAGGATTATACACCAAAACCACATTAAAATGAAAACTCCAATTCTGGGAATGCAACAACAATGCGCCTGAGCTTTGCTGTTGTATTTTATGGATTAACCCAATCAAGCAGGTGATTTTTTTGGTGACATGGCACTGACCTGGAACTCTCCAGGATAATATGTTTGGATTGGGTGTCGTTGGGATTATACACCAAAAATCCATTAAAATAAAAATTCCAATTCTGGGAGTGTGACACCAACGCGCCTGAGCCTTGCTGCTGTATTTTATGGATTAACCCAATCCAGCAGGTGATTTTTGGTGGGGTGGCACCGAGCTGGAGCCCTCCAGGATATTTCTATATTGCAAAAATCCATTAAAATTCCAATTCTTGGAGTGTGGCACCAACATGTCTGAGCTTTGCTGTTTTATTTTATGGATTAACCCAATCAAGCAGATGTTTTTTGGTGGGCATGGCACTGAGCTGGAGCCCTCCAGGATAATATTTTTGGATTGGGTGTCGTTGGGGTTATACACCAAAAATCCATTAAAATTCCAATTCTGGGAACGCAACGCCAACATGCCTGAGCTTTAGTGTTGTATTTGAGGGATTAACCAAATCAAGCAGGTGGGGTGGCACTGACCTGGAGCCCTCCAGGATAATATTTTTGGATTGAG